GGGGTGGAGGGGCAAGGTATGAACAATAACTGTTCCCTAGCTATCGCCTTTTGGATCACATTTGAAAAATTCCAGGGTATGAGTCCGTCTTGGGTTTCTCAGTATTGAAGACTTGTATAGTCCCCTACATATGGAATGGGTCGATAGGGAGGAGTATCAGAGACGCAGCGCCAAACGTTCCAGAGAGCTGTAATCCGATATGCAGTCAAAGAAGGGCCACCGTAACTGATACCATAACAGATTCATCAACAGAAACGCCACAACGATGCCACGTTATGTTCCCTCCGCGCCACACCACCAAGGCTCTGTTCTGCTCAGTCAGTGGAAGAAAGTGTCGACCATCGTCTATGAATGACCCTGAAGGAGCTCGAACTTAGGGAAATGATGTGGAGATCTCAAAAGGGCAAGACTGCGAGCAGCTGTCAGGATATCTCGGTCATATAAGTGATTCGGGAATTCATTCCGGAATCGTTTTTCAGTGTTTGGTCTCTGCCCTTCTACTCAACCAAGCAAAAAAAAACTAGAGAGAGAGGGGAGAGGGAGGGCTCAGTTTCATGGGAACACAAAACGAAGTCGCGCTATGACCAGAGCCATCACCAGGTGCTCGTACTTGGTCAGTCAGCTAATTGCTTGGGCTAATTAGATCGGAACCATAAGATTCAAAAGGATGACAGGTGGATGAAACACCTAATGATTTCCAGCCTACAAAACCGAGTTGGAGGAATCCGTAGAAGTCATGTCTGACTATTGACAAATGGACACAGCTCTGCTGAGCAGTTCGCCAGAGTTCTCTGAGTAGTTCGTGACCAAGAGGAGCCCTTGAGTTCGTAACCATCCGGTCGGAAACTCCTCAACAGCAGCGGCGGTTTGCAGTGAAGTAGAGCGACAAAAGATCCACAGACAAGCGTTGACCGGAGCCATTTTAAATGACCAAACAGGGTCAAGTGAATGATGATACCTCGACGATTATACGCAGAAGAGCGCGATCGCGTTGTATGTGGCAAAGGACGCGAAATTGCGGTCCGTCGACGATCGTCATCGGACGACGTCGGAAGGCGTGGAGACGGCGAATTGCTGCCAATTGTTCCATACACTAGTTTAGAGCGGCAGATTAAGTAAGACGTATTGTAATTGCGATCCCGCAGATGAAAAAAAAGGAAACATAAAAGAAATTGGGACTCGAGATCAGGACTGGAAATCTCGGACAGGGATGGAGCTGGCTTGGCCAGAGAACTAAAACTTGCCGCCTGCTAGTGGAATGGTTTGACCCATGGCAATGGCTAAATGAGGGTTGATGGGCAAAGTGACGAGATTGCGCAACGGCACAAGTACCTGACCCCCTATGCGCTTGAGTGGACAGCCAAAGGATTATAGCATTACAAAACAACGAACGCATGTCACTGAGTCAAAACCTCGACGAAGAGGCGGCGCCGTGGATGAGATAGGTAAGGCTTATCAGAAATCCCGAGTTTCAGAAAGATCCTAGGCTTTCTGATGGCTTAAAAACATCAAAGATCTTCGAACGATGACAATTCTGATGATTACGGTGTGATTACGCGGGAAATCGATCTGAATACGGTATGTATTGGCAGTAAAACTTGGCGCCGATGGAATTCTCACGCACGGAATGTG